GGGCGAGGGGCAAGGCCCGTGCGCACCCCAGGGCGTCCCCGACACCTCAGTCGCGCTCCCGGGTCGGGCCAGCCGTTCCAGCACATAACTGCTTAGGTACCGGGGCGTGTGTGCCGCACCCGGGCTAACCTGGACCCCCAGTGCGGCTCACTGAGGGGGGACACAGCACTGCTGGTGAGGAAGGTGCGTATGGGTAAGGAGGAAGAGGAGGAAGGTTTAAATGAAGGTGTGGTTGGCCGTATAGGGGCTGTGGAATATGAGAGAGGGATTGCTGGAGAGGAGGGGACTTTCTTCCCTAAGGCAGAGGAGGTAGGGGGTTGCAGTAGGAAGAGAGGCTGCCAGCCTGGGTTTCTGAGGAGGCATGCAGGGCAGTGCAGTGCAGTGCAGTACTGTGGGCTGGCCTTGGTCTCTGCTAGGAATGTCCAGCCAACACAGCAGTCAGTCCATGATTAATTTTGGATTATTTTCTCAGTGGCCTTCAACTGAACTTGCTCAGCAGATATTAATCATGTTGTCTTTCCTGTGGCCCAAACCTGGACACAGAAGTCTAGATGTGGTCTAAGATACTCGTTTTTACATCACCCCACACTCCCAGGCATGGTAAGGGTATTTACCATCCTTCCTGTTGGTCTGAGTGTGGCTGTTCTGGCTGCTTGGCATCCCAGCCTTGAAGTAATCACTCTTGGTGCTGGTGACTGTGGTATGGGGCAGCAAGTCTTGGTCCTGGCTTTAAGAACAGAAGGGACTGATTTGCACAAGCACCAAAAATCCTGTTTATTCAAATACCTTGATATCTTGGTTTTTTCCTGCAACACTTGTGGTTCACTGAGTTTGGCTGGAAACGTTATAAAATACAGGCTTCAGTCTATGCCATGGAGGGCTTTCTCTGTGCTCACTGGGACTGTTGAGTTAGTCATATCAGGAAGCAGAGGTGCAGGGGTCACTTGCAGGGCTGCAAGGGTGTTGTCTGAGTAGCTAACTGTCTTTCAAGGAAGTGTAAGGGGTGGGTGTTCCTCTTGTCCAGACACAGCCCATTCCAGGTGTATGGCAATGTAAGAAAACATTTGGTTGCAAGAAATTCTGGCAAGTAGAGAGCCTGTCTGACGACCATTTGGAAAATGTTGTCTTCCATTAGAGAATTTGGCAATCCTTTATAAAACTTAGGTCAGAGGTGACGTTAGGTTGAGTATCAGGCTAATTTAAGTGTTCAGTATGAAAGACACTTTATCTTGTGCTCTTTTCCAAGCAGTGTTGGTTACTGACCTGAATGCTTCCCTGTAACCTCTTGCAGGTTGTTTCTGTATGTCCTGGTTTCAGATGGGATAGAGTTTTGATTTTTTTTTCTTAGTAGCTGGTGCAGTGCTGCATTTTGGTTTTAGCCTGAGAATAATGCTGGTAACACACCAATGTTTTAGTTGTTGCTAAGTAGCACTTACCCTGATCAAGGACTTTTCAGTCTCATGCTCTGCCAGTGAGGAAGGGCACAAGAAGCCGGTAGGAAGCAGAGACAGGACACCTGACCCAAACTAACCAAAGGGGTATTCCATACAACAGCACGTCATGCCCAGTATAGAAACTGGGGGGAGTTGGCTGGGAGCTCTTGATAACTGCTCAGGGACAGGGTGGGCATTGGTCAGTGGGTGGTGAGCAATTGTATTGTGCATCACTTGTTAATTTTATTGTTGTTGGTTGTTAGTTTTATTCCTCCCTCTATATATTTCCTTTTATTATTATCATTATTCTATTTTACTTTGTTTCAATTATTAAACTGTTCTTATCTCAACCCACAGGTTTTACTGGTTTTTGTGATTCTCCTCCGCACCCCATTGCAGGGTGTGGGAGTGAGTGGCTGTGTGGTACTTAGTTGCCAACTAGGCTTAAACCACAGCACTGTGGCTGGTTCTTCTACAGAACAGGAAGGCCCTGTAGAGAAGTTTGATGTCCTGGAGTACTCCTTGTTGGCTGCTTCCGAGCTGAGTAAGTTTAATCTCAGAGTTGTGTCCACATGATCAGGTTTTGAAGAACTGCTAGATCCCTCTTCATTCATCTCCCAGAAAGAGCAGTCCTCAGTGTCTGCCTGCTGCTTTTTTTCAGTTGGGCAGAGCCATGTGCTCTGGTTCACGTGGAATCCAACTTGGTTCATGGGTAGCCCCCATTTTGTGGCAGGGAAAATGCACCACTCGTGAGGGTAGGAGGTTGGTCTTGTGACTTTTGTTTTTCCTCCCTTCCATCATATGTTTTGTTCGGTATCATGCTGTTAGGTTCATTCAAGATGTGTGTGCATCTTGTCTGAATGCTGGGTGGTGCTGCAGAAGTGTGAATGAAAGTAGAGGCTTTGCTGCCAGACAGTTCAAAGAGGCGCTTGATTCCTATTTACCTAAGATTGAATTCTTGGTCTTGCTCCCCTTCCCTTCAGACCTAAAGCACATGTTTGTATTGAGTGTAATGTTCAATGTGCCTGTGCCCGGCCTGCCCTGCTACACTGTGGAGGTGGGCTAGGTCTGTTCTGAGTTCTATGGCGTGGTCAGGATGCTGGGGCTTATAAATGTGCAGTCACTTCACGATCTCTGTGTCTTGGACTGCAAACCTCTCCAGATGCTGTGAGCTCAGTTTCTAGTGGTATCACAGGTTGCTAGAGAAGGTGTGTCATCTCCTTAGCGTGTGTTTTCTATATTGCATTAGACAAACATGTTTTGCTTATATATTGATATCTATCTCCCAGATTATCATCAATGGGTTTCACTTGCCACTAGTCTTGATTGAGGAATCTGGGTTTAAACCCCCGCCCAGAAACACCCATAGTGGCAGAGCTACCATGTCTTAGCCTGTATTGATGAACCCTTTCATGTGATCTTTTGCCTCCTGGAATAATATTGTAGGTGAGCACACTAACACAGTGAACTGAGAAGCCAGAAGAACTTGACACAGCTTCTTGACTGAGTGCCAGGAATATTTCTTGAGATGGACCTGTCATCCTTTGTGTGCATCTCCTCATTTGGCAGGTTATGAGCATGACAACGGCTGGGCTTTTTGTAGTAAGAGAGTTAACAAACCATTAGTGTGAGGATAAGTGAGTTTCTGCATCTGTTCAACAATCAAGTGATTTCAGTCTGACAGAGGTTTTCTGATGTTGGATTCTTTGGCATTTGGGCCATTAAAGCCAATTACTGCCCGCTTAGATGCCAAGGTAATCTCACAGGTGAAGATCTTTGGATCTGGCTTACTGCTGTTGGTAACGTGACGAGAGGAAAACAGGTGGAACGCTCTGTCAAGAGGATAGATGATTTAATTTAAACAAAGATCAGTAGTACTTCAGCAGAGAAAAATATCTTCCATTTTGGAGTTTTCATGGGATAACACCTCTGTCTCAGGTGGAATATGTGGTATTGATGTACAAGGGAAGAAAAAATGGAATCTTAGTTGTAGTAAGATCAGTCCTAAAAAGCTAAAATCTTCTGAAGTTAGTGATTCACGAAGCATTCCTTGTAATATGTGTGTATTTTCAATGGTTACTCCCACGTACCTCAACTTCCTCAGAGAGACTGCAGTCACCAAGATAATGCAACACCATGGAAAACAATGTTAAAAAGTTGCAAACCAATCAACAGTGGCTTGTAAATGTCTATACCAATCCCTATACCCGTATTCTACTGTTAAATATAAACCTTTGGGGGTTTTACTGGGTGATTGAATTCCCTGTGTGTGAAGCTTTAAGGATGTTTTGCTAGCAGTTCAATGATTTTCTGATACATTTTCTGAGGTGCATCAAGACCCCAGATGAAACTAAGATGACCCCAAGAAGGAAAATGCTCATGATAAATGAGATTTTTAATCCGAGGGAGCAGCTTTGCCGTGTCTTTTGGATCTGCAAATTTGTCCCGTCCACCGCTCCAGACAGCAATTGGCATGCTTATTTCCTCTATCTTGTACACAGGAGGAGTAACCTGTAAGAAAGGGAGGAGATGAGGGTGAATGCTGTTATAGCAGATGTTGTGTTTAGAGAAAGGATTCTGTACAAGCACTTCT